TATTTAGTTTTATTTTATTTTTGTTGTTTTTCTTATGGAAAAGAGTAACACCTTGTAAATAACTCCTTGAACTATGTAATGGCAATTTGCCGCTTTAGTTCGAAGGTTATTAGGATTTCTTTATCTTCAAATAAATATAGTTTAAACCAACCTTTTAGGTTTTTGAGAACGGCTAAAACACTTCTACGGGTTTAGTAACGCTTCCTAAACCCATGAGTAAACCCTGAATTCGGGACGCTGGTAAACAAAGGGTTATAGGTGCATATGATAGACCTAGATGTCCTCTATAGATTTACGCGACTCCGAGGTGGCTAGCTGCTATGTTAATGGTTCTGCTGGGATATGTCTCAGTAGTACAGCTTATACTTCTATAAAAACCAGTATCTTTTTTATTAAGTGTGTTTTTCTTGAAACTAATATGTCATATTTGTAATCAGACGGTTAAAGTAGAGAAAGAAATTACCCAAGCACACAAAAAGCATGGAGTATCGCCCAATGTATCTAGATTCGTTAATTCACTGGTCGATGCATCTAAATGCGTAAAAAGAAAATCATCGAGACATCGCACGTTGGATCTAGATAAATATGGAGATATCTAGATACATCTAAATACAGATAAATGTTTTTCTCGATGTAACGACATAACATTGCCCATGCATCTATATGAGCAATGCTGTGAACAATGCATTCAGCATCCATTAAGTGGTTCATGCATGTGGCTGACTCAGTGATTCAGACAATACATCTAGACATCATTGTCAATGCACGGATATGTCAGTGTTCCAATAAATACATTTATTCCAATACAGTGCTCTGGTACGTGGATGGAGAAAAAAAAATATGCTTATTTCGTGCACTTTTCGTTTTTGATCTATCCAACTTCATTCGATGAAAGTTCTGAGTTTAAACCAAAATTAAATGAGATTTTATCTTTGGTTTTTAGTTTTTTCGGCTCCGCCGCATGTACGGAGATATTCGGAGATGAAATCTTATTTGATCTTGGTTTAAACTCAGAACTTTCATCCAATGAAGTTGGGTAGGTCAACAACGAAAAGTGCACGAAATAAGCATATTTTTTTTGTCCCCGTCCACGCACCTTTTTCTTCTGAAATGAAAAGAATAAAAGACGAGTTCGGTGCAAGATCTTTTTGAGGTCAATCGAAAGAAGTCGTACTATTCAAATTGGATAAATAAAAAATTGTTTGTCAGACAAATTTATTCTCAAAAAATTTTCTTCTTTCAAAGAAAGAAAAATTCAAAGTGAACCGCCTGAGAAATAAGGCTTGACATTTACAATATTACGGCTTGTCCACGTAACGCGATACTTCGCTGATTAAGTTTTTAAAAAATTTTTTTCTTTGTGGAAGTCGTTCAATCACAGCGTCAGATTCAAGTTTTCACGCTGACTACGAATCTCGTGTTCTTTTAAAACAAAATTTTGGTTTTCGGCGAAACGAATGAAGTTTAAGTTTTTAGAAAAGTTTAATTTCAATTTTCTGACCTAGAAAATTTGTCTACAAATTATAGAAAGTACGCCAGTCGACAGACAATTAAATTCTCTATAAAATGGTTCATTTTGTTTTGACAGTGAATTTTTTCGCCGAGTACCAGGCTTTCCAGAGACTTCCAGATTTCGGGCTATGTTCCAGTCGGGGGTTTGAAGTTTAGAGTGCCAGTTCTCCCATAAATCGTGAATAACTAGCAAGAACTTTCATGAAGATAAAAATAGAGTTCTTTTCGCCGTGTTGAGTACCACGGACTGCTCTCCCAAAACAGAGTGTCACAGCGTCACGATAATAAACTAACGTTTCTGCGATCCACGAGGATCCTGGAATGAAATGTTTTTTAGTAATGTGCAGACCATTCTCTCCTCGATCTAACCGCTTGCAAATAAAAGTTTTCACGGATGATTTTCCTTGAAAATTTTCATAAATCCCCCAGATACCTAGGAAAAAAGGGCCTTTGTCACAGCGTCACGCTCTGGACATTTGCTATAAATCTGCTAAACTCAAACCAAATTTTCTCTTGTTTTTACTAGAGATAGAGGGCGTTTAGCTGCGTCGAATGGCACTTGAACGAACTCACTAGCTTTAATAGTTTTTCAACTATGAGCGATTTAGTGTCAAAAATGTCAAAGCGTCACGCTTGGACAAGCCGATTACTTTTGCGCAATATCTTAAATCTCTGTTATGCCAGTTTAAAGCGCAAACATTTTCAGTTGAAAATAGATGACTAGCAGTACTAAACAATGTTCCGCTACAGTATGAGGTGCAAGGTTTCTATAAAAATTCTCAAAAATGTCAAAGTTTCGCATACTATAATTTAGCTGATAGTCACTTAGTAGAATCATATAAGTAGCAGAACAGAATCCCCGCAACATTTCTCAGTTCGTAGAGAATAAGTAAATGTGAACTGATCAAATCTCAACTAACATTACAGCGTGAAAGTAAGAAACAATATGCGAAATCTGCTGAATTCGCAGGTAGGTCAAAAACGAAAAGTGCACGAAATAAGCATATTTTTTTTGTCCCCGTTCACGCACCAGACTACTGTAAGCAAGCACTGCTTTACTTGCCCATTTTCTGGCTTCTCAAGGCATTGAGATTTGCATTGTATGGCATTGGATTCAACCCGATACATCTAGATAAGTCAATATTTTTTACTCTTTTACCTAGATGAATGCGCCAGCAAGAATATCTAGATTTTTCCGCTAGGCAATTTTTACTTGGGTAACTTGACGCACAAGATAAAATAAATGATTTTATTTTGCTTTTCTTCAGTCAATACTTGGCTTTTTCCAACATAGAACAAATTATGAAACCAGTTAAGAGCAGACGTTACTTTTCAAGCCGTTCGGAGTCAAGGTAAATAGGAACGAGACGAGTATACTCTGATGCTGTCATGCATTCCATACATAGTGGATGATGAGCGTAACGTGGGCCAATATTCTGATCATGTATCCGTGTGGCTCGATGCTCATATCGGTAAACCGGAGAACAATAGAGATCTGAAAGCTCTGTTTCGCAAGATTACTCAACCGTTAGAAATACTCAGTGAAGGGGAAGAAGATATTGACGAGCCGATGATGCTTGATGTCAATATTCTCAAATCACTACAAGAGACTGTTTACCGTCTGGAGCTGTTCGATAATGCAGACATATGTCTTGAATTTATCCATGCTAACCGAGATAAACAAATATTTTTCGTTTCATCCGGTTCAATGGGCCGTCTAATCGTTCCGAAAATTTTTGAGTTGCCGCAACTTCAGAGTATTTTTATATTTTGTGGTGATATATCAAAAAACAGCGTTTGGGCAATGGATTATTGTGAGAAAATCTCAGCAATGGTCATCCATCAAGACGATTTACTTGTTCATCTAACAAAATGTATTGCTCAATATTTGGAAAGCAAAGGCGATGGGTATATGGAAAATGATCAAACTCTTAGGGCAAAAAATTGCTTTGCATGGTCAAAAAAGCTGCTGTTGAGAGCTGAAAAATATGGACATACACGGTTACCTAATGACGTCAAGAAAATTGAAGAGAAAATTTTATCCGCAGAAACTGGACAGCAATCCTCGATGGACTATCAGTGATGTATCGTAGATATAGATTCACTTAACTAGTAGGGATAGATTAGACTATTGATCTGCATTCATGTCATTCAATTCATTTTCCAATTGTCACTGTGGTAATAGAAAACAAATCTCGATATTAGTCTGACCAAGACCGCATGAGTTTAAGTTAAATACACATTTATCATACAACAGTTAAACATCTACACAAGTCATTATCAATAAGAAAAAATGATTTTTTCCGCCACTAATAATTTCCAAGTTTCCTCCTTACAATAGTAAGTTATGGCAGTGAACTGTACCCAGTAACAACAGAAAAAAACTTAAATAAATTACAATCACCTCAGTATCAAATTATTCTAACGGTGACAGGGGCTTTGAGCGGCAGCGAAACTAACAAAGTACTTAAAGAGCTCGGATGGCTTTCGCTCAGGAACTCATTCGAAGAACATCGCATGTGCATGTTTTTTAAAATTAAATACGGTCTAGTTCGCGTGCATGCACAGGGTCATATCAGTTTTTTTGTCCCATAATGCTCAACATTATCTTCCTAGTAATACTAGAAATGATATGTACGCCCACAGCGATAAAAGTACCACTTTTCAAGATTCTTTTTACCCAACTATGATTCGAAAATGGAAGGAGCTTACAGCAAAATCACCGTCGTTATGTCTAAGAAAAGAACGTTTTATATTCAGAAAAGAGCTAAGAATCAGTTTGACAGGCAACCATTTAAAAATACCATTGACAACTAGCCGACCCACAGACCCACTCTTGTGCCTTTTAAGAGTAGATTTTCCACAGGTAAACTTTTATCTCAAAGAAAATGTGTTACATTTTCCTACTGCCTCCACTGTTTATCTCTGTCTACACCAGTGTTCTTGTGTCTTTGTCTTCACCAGTCATGTATTAAAGCAAACTATAAACATGTAATATGACAATTGTCTCGATTTGTTCTGTATTTCATCAAAATAAAAAAAAGTTTATATAAAAAAAGAACTGTGAATAATGTCAATGACTGCAGCTCTCGGCTTCTAGCTGAGCTCCGAATGTAAAATTCAGATAGAGCATCGTCAACAATCTACAGAAAACCAAGATTAGATTGGTTTATAAAGAAAAAACCTGGAAAACTTACTTTTAGAATCCCTCCTTTCATTATTTTACGAAGTGTTAGTTTTATTATCACACAGGGTTTCTGCAATATAGAGTGGAATACCGTGGCTGATTAGCTGAGTCAGTTAGGGCGCACCTGCAAGTAAACATAATGTCCCTTAAGACTTAAGTTACTATACTGAAAGGCGCGAGCTTGATACCTGTGCTCGCGTTATTAATTTTTTTCCCATAAAGAAAAACACCTTTACAGTGCACTAAAAACTTAAAACTCGACTCTTTCTACGACAACTTTTCAAAAATGTTGTGGAATGGAGAAATTAAACCATCTACGATACATCACTGATAGTCCATCGAGGATTGCTGTCCAGTTTCTGCGGATAAAATTTTCTCTTCAATTTTCTTGACGTCATTAGGTAACCGTGTATGTCCATATTTTTCAGCTCTCAAC